GGGGGCCCCCAACCGGGTTCCCCAACCGGGCCCCCCAACCATGTCCTTCAGGCGGGGGCCCGAACCGGGGGCCCCAACCGGGGCCTCCAACCGGGGCCTCAAACCGGGCTCCCAAGCGGGGATCCCAAGCGGGGTCCCCAACCGGGGCCCCCAAGCGGGGACCCCAACCGGGTACCCCAACCGGGGCTCCCAAGCGGGGCCCCCAACCGGGTACCCTAACCGGGGCTCCCAAGCGGGGACCCCAACCGAGGACCCCAACCGAGGCCCCCAAGCGGGGTCCTCAACCGGGGACCCCAAGCGGGGACGGGGACGCCAACCGGGGTCCCCAAGCGCGGATCCCAACCGGGGACCCCAAGCGGGGTCCCCAAGCGGGGATCCCAACCGGGGACCCCAAGCGGGGCCTCCAAGCGGGGACCCCAACCGCGGACCCCAAGCGGGGACCCCAACCGAGGTCCCTAAGCGGGGGACCCCAACCGGGGACCCCAAGCGGGGACCCCAACCGGGGCCCCCAAGCGGGGACCCCAAGCAGGGACCCCAAGCGGGGCTCTCAACCGGGGCCCCAACCGGGCCCCTTAACCTGCCCCCAGCAGACCCCCACAACCGACGCCCTAACTCACCCCCATATGCCTTATAAATTTATCATAATTGTCAGTTTTAATTGTTAATTGTTAATCAAAAACATTGAAAAGATTGAAAATTGATTAATTGTTAATTGTAGATATTTGCGATTAACGATTGATCAATTGTTAGTTGCGAGAACCGCAATTAACGATTGATCAATTGTTAGTTGCGAGAACCGCAATTAACAATTGATTAATTGTTAATTGCGGTTCTCGCAACTAACAATTGATCAATCGTTAATTGCTGTTTCGCAATTGACAATTAATCAATTGTCAATCTTTAATTGCCAGAACAATTAAATTTTTCCCAACACTGCCCCGCACTAGGGAGCCCTGCGTCGCGGGTGCCATGGAAACACACATAGACAACCACAAATTATACCCAAACTCACGAGAGAAATAATTTTAGGCCATGCAACTATTTCTCCCGGCCCGGGAATCGAACCTGGGACCTCTGCGTGGCAGTCCGGCATGGTAACCGTTCGGCCACGGAGGCAATAAAAGATGTATTTTTTTTATGTTTGATATACACAGTGTTTTTTTAAATGGGACTGTATGGAGCAAATCCGAAACCATAGAAGATACAAGGAAATTGTCTTAGGAACCATTAAGGCTTTCTTCATGAAAACTATTTTGGCATAGTCAATTTTTTGGTCAAGTGTGAGTTGTCTATAAAATGAATAAAATTGATCAAATTATTTTTTACTGCTATACGACTCAGTTTCATGAAGGGATCATTTCGACCCCTCCTACGTAAAGTATCGTATGTCGAAATTGCTTGGACTGAACTAGTCGATGAACTTGAAAATAATGAAGATATCTACATTCTAGACGCGTACATAGAACCACCGGATATGGCAGGATGACTGACCAAAATTCTGCGAGTGAAGACAAGAGAGGGTATGTGGAAAATCTATCTAGTCGATAGCTTCGCGTGACCGCCATGCTTCAAGTTAAATCCCCAGAGCAAGCAGATCCTCAGGAAGATGAGCCTTTAGATACCTCCAGCTCTTCCAATAAAAGACGCAAGGTCAACAATCATACTTAGAAAAGTAATGTGATATAAGTACCCGCCACTTTCCCTTCATCTTTATCCTGGGATTACAGCTACATGCAAGGCACAGATATTTTTGAGTTGTTTTTTGATAACGACCTGAAGAAGTCTGCTTACTTTCATCACCTGGTGAAATCACAGGGTTGGGGTAGTAAAAAATACAGGAAGAATTTAAAGGACCTTCCTTCCTTCACTTTCCAGACCATTTCAGTGATCCTAACGTCATCAACGTTGGAGTTGGAATCGTCTGGGAATGACAGATTTAAAGACGCTTCGTTTCAATTTTATCCGGTTTTGGAAAGTACTGTGACTACATACATCTTGCCTGTAAAATCCAATGCTATTGGATGTGATTATGTGATGGTATCAGTAGGGAGATGATCATACTTACAATTCCACGTACTGTAAATGTCGTTACGAGTATTAGGTCTAATAAATAGGTCAATCACAACAAATACCGTTCCTAGTCGGTGGCTAATCCAAGGTGGTCAGTTGGTATGTCGCAGAGCCATCCCATAGGTGGCAGCAGTACTCCATACACAACCGGACTTGTGCTTGGTACAGCTGAAGCAACTGTCCCGGTGTGAATGTCCCTATCTACTGATCCGAGAGATAGGGTTTTCCGGAGAGACTACGGGCTCGACGGCAAGACTATGGTACGGTGAGCGTCCGGGCCAAGCTTTCCGGCAGTTATACGTCTTCGCGGGCGATGTCCCTATTTACCGACCTGAGAGATAGGGTTTTCCGGAGAGATTACGAGCTCGACGGCAAGACCAGGGTACGGTGAGCAACCGGGCCAAGCTTTCCGCCAGTTATACGTCTTCACGGGCGTCTCTGGCGGGCCCGGACTTGGGTCCATACCCAACAGCTAACCACAAAGAGTATGGACTCGCCGGGGTTTGTGGTTAGCTGCAGGAACGGACACGCTCGTCTGCCCCGGTAGGGTGTGACCGGGGGTGGTCGGAGGACAACTGACCTGCCCCTCCATTGGCGCGGGAGCCTTGGCGCAAGGCAGGGCGGCCGGGCGGCATCGTGGTGAATGTGCACCGACCCCACGGCGCCGACTCATCCGGCGGCGGCGGGAGGTAAACCCGGGGGGGTTTTAGTGGTAGTCGGGTTCATATTGTGCAATGCGAAGGCCTTCAACAAAAATTAAACTTTTTACATTCTGTGCTTGAATTCAGTGGTTTTATTTGGAATCCACACTACGAAGTGTATGCCAAGCGTTTGGAAAGCTTTTGAAATGCCATTTGGCGTACGGTAATTTTAAGGCTAGGAAGCTGTTAGAGTATTCACAGAGACTCAACCACTACGTATTGGCTTCTTTACTTGACCGTAAAAAGAGACTTGACTTAATCTTTCTATATACAACTGTAAATGGCTACTTGATTGCCCTTAATTATTGGATATGCTGCAGTTCGACACTCCATTTAGGATGCCTAGAAAGAGCTCTTACATACCTACCAAAATTAACTTCGGTAATTTCGCTGTCTTGTCAAAGCTCTGTAGGTCTGTACGTGTCACATAATTTAGTCATTAGCCAGGGTTTCAACCGTTTTAACAAAAGGATTCTGGCTTGTATATTTTCAAATATTTTTCACTAATATTTCGCAAATATTTTCTTCATTTCTCCTAAGTTTTATCATTTCTTTAATTAATTAGGTACGGGTATTGTAAACTATGATAAGACGTACGTTGTACGTATGCATAAATTTAAATAATTTCTCTTTGTGTCATCATAATTTTTATATATTTTGTGTCAAATTGTTTCTATCGCATGTTGTGATGCTATGTGGTTCACTATTTAAGGTGTAGTATTTTCTATGTCGAATATCCTAAATACATATAAAGCCTCCTTTTGACAATTTTTCGAAGTACTATAAATTTGTGTCTAAACTACATTAGATGAACCCATGATGAACCTGTCCAGCTGTACTCAAATATCATAGCTTCAAAATCCCGGTATGTCCCGAAAACTTCTAAAATTATTATTTCGGAAATTGTGCGGAGTTAGTACTAGATTTTTTGTTGAATCAGTCTTTATGTGCACCTGGGTTTTAAAGCAAGTTGCAAATCCAACTATCATATAATAAAGCCAGAAAGAAATAAAGTAAAAAATTACTAAATGGCGATTTACTTGCAGCCTATATGTGCCAGCGCGGCCTAAAAGCGTTTGTAATATGTCTACAAGTAAGACCTTTCAAAAACAATCCAACGAATTACTTAACTGTAACGATTTGGTCACTAGAATTTTATTTTCTAATAATCTCAGTACAGAGTACTAAAAAAACCGACCTCAAAAGTACGTGGAATTACGCCTATTTGCTAAGTTTTATTGAAATATCCCTTAGTTCGCCACTATACAGGACTTGACACTGGAGATAATAAAAATAGGTTCTCACTACGACACTACACAAAGCATATTAAGAGAAAAACGCCGTGAATTGGAGAAATAGCAAAATCAACCATTAAAGTAATTGCTCCTAACTTAAAGTTAGGCACTATTTATAAAAATGAATCTTCATGCGTGAACAGCCACCCTTCGAGATGGATGATTTTCTTCAAAATGAAATGGGCCCACTATGGAAGTACCCCCTTTCCAACAAAAAAAGAATCATGAAAATCAGCTCACAAATACCGGAGTTATCGCGTAACATACATACAAAAAAAAGAACATTCAGTCGAATTGAGAACCTCCTCCTTTTTTGAAGTCGGTTAAAAATACCGAATACCGGACATAAACTTTGGTCAAGATTTTCTCCAAAACTATTGTAGTGAGACTCATGGCAGTTTAGCGGTACTCGTGCACTCGGAATGAAACGTTTTCTCCGATTCTTTTGTTACCAGAGACATATCCGATTTTAGGGGTAAAAAACAGACTGCGGCTGAGTTACAAACCTTCTACTTTATCATACTTAGTAAAATTATCTATAATTCTAAGCAAAACGTGTATAATTTAGGGCCATAGGTCCAGAGTTACAGTACTTGGAAATTTAGATGATTAATTGTCAACCAGCCTACCCTATACAGCGGTAGGAAGGTGTGAGTGATCGCTTTTGACATGCTAAATCACACTTAGCACGTGCGTCGGGCCACGTCGCACGAACCGTCGCAAAACGCACGACGTCGTTTGGCTCTTATCACACGTCACGGTCGTCGATCAGTATGATGACTACCTAAGCGGTCGTCGGAGTCGATAAAGCTAAACAAAAAATTGCAACGCGCTAAACAAGTACCAACAGTGAACAAAGTATGGACGCAGGCGATGGCGAGTGTGGGCGCGCGGCGCGTCGCGGCGGCGGCGCGGGCGCCGGGCGCGCAGGCCGGCGCGCGCATGGCGGCGTGGCGCGTGCACGCTTACGGGGCGCTGGCCGAGCTGCGGCTGGACGAGGCGCGGGTGCCGCCGCTGCGCGCGGCCGACGAGCTGCTCGTGCGCGTGCACTCGTCCTCGCTCAACCCGCTGGACGTCGCCATGATCGGTGAGGGCAGCGGCGTCGGCTGCAGCCCCCGGGCGGCAGCGCGACTGCCGGTGGTGACGCTTCGTCTGCAGGCGGGTACGGGCGGCACGCGCTCAATGTGCTGCGCGCGCTGGAGGGCGCCCGCGGCGGCAGCGGCGCCGGCGGTGCGGGTGTGGAGTTCCCGTTGGTGGTGGGGCGCGACTTCGCGGGGGAAGTGGTCGCCGCGGGTGCCGCTACCCGCCTCGGTCGCGGCGCGCGTGTCTGGGGCGCGCTGCCACCGCACTGGCCCGGCGCGCACGCGCAGTACGTCGTCGTCAAAGAACGTTGGGTGGGTGCCGCGCTCGGCTCCCTCTGCCGAGGTGCCGGCAGGTCAGAACGAGTGTGGACGCAGGCGGGCGAGGCGCCGAGCGCGGGCGCGATGGCGGGCTCGCCGGCGGCGGGCGGCGCGCTGTACGCGGCCCTCACGGCCTGCAGCGCCCTGCGCGTCGCGGGGCTGGCCGGCGGGAGGGGCGGCAGGGGGCGGCGCGTGCTGCTGCTGGGGCTGGGCGGCGTGGGGCACGCGGCGCTGCAGTTGCTGGCGCGGCGCGGCTTCGACACGCTGGTCGGCTGCGCGGGGGAGCTGGCGGAGCGCGCGCGCGCGGCGGGCGCCTCGGCCGCGCTGGACCGGCACGCGCCCGACTACGCCGAGCAGCTAGCCGCCTCCGGCCCGTGCGTACCGGCCCCGCCGCCGCCCCCGCGTCTGCCGCCGGTCGGGCGCGTGCTGACGCGCGGTTCGTGTGCGCAGGTACGAGGTGATCCTCGACTGCGCGGGCCTCGGCGGGTGGGAGGCTAGCGCGCGGGACCGACGCTGGCGGTTCGAACGCTACGTGACTCTTACGACTCCACTGCTGCGCTACATGGACGAATGGGGCTCGGTGCTGGGCGGTGCGGCGGCTGCGGCCGAGCTAGCGCGACAATCCGCCGCGGCGGCCGCGGCCGCGCCGCGCGGCTTCCCGCCGCCGCACGTGCGCTGGGCCTATTTCTATCCCCGCGCCGAAGACATCGAGCTGCTGCGGCGCCTCGCCTCGCGCGACCAGGTGGGCGGCGCCGCGCCGGCAGCGTGCGGGCGGACGGACGGACGGACGGACGGACGGACCGAGCGCGGCTCTGTTGCAGCTGGCGGTGTGCGTGGAGCGCGCGTGGGGCTGGCGCGAGGCCGGCGCGGCCTACGCGCGCGCGGCGCAGGGCCACGCGCGAGGCAAGCTGCTCATCGACTTCGCCGCCTCGTAGCGCTTCGCCGGCTCGTTCGTCCTGGACGTGGGACTCCTGTGTTAGTTTGCGCGCATTACGTGTACTGTACCTCCCTTAATTGTAAGCAGGTAATAATTCGTTACATTACATAATGTTTTCTAATAAATACTACATTCTTTTTACTTAAAATAGATTTACGCTTGTTCACAATCGCACTTAATTTTTTTCAACGACTTCAATCTTTAAACGAGAACACTCACTGCGACTATGAACAGTGATAGTGATAGATATGGGGAATATATATTACATAATATACAGCCGCGAATGACACACATGAATTTCAGGAACTGATTTCTACCTCAAAAACTCACACGTCAAGACAGCGCACGTCATTGACAACTATCGAATACATCAGATAGTGTCTTGTTTTAGTATTAAATTTTGTCAAAGAGTCAGTACCGTAGCACCGTGGACAGACGTGACAGTCTATACCTATTAGGAATGACCTAGGCAGACAGATAATATTCTTTTGAGGAATACTGTGAGTAAAAGAAACGTACTAATTATTTAGAAGTGCATACGTTATAGAATTTCGTCGGTATTTACTAAATTGACAGCTCACAAAATGACAATCCAATGGTGCCTGTTAAAACACCCGAAATGTCTTTTTGTCTAATGGAGTAAACTCAACAGTCTGGTATCTTGGATTTAGAAATAAGTGCTATATTCGTAATGAACACCCCCGAATACCTCGAAAATGATACCCAACTTGCCATTATTTGGAAAAGCGTCTTCAAGTCTGAACCAGAGTTCTGTAAATTGAAAGCGAACAACATAGTCAACGTTACAGGTGAACGAAAAAAGAGGGGAGGCTTATTCAAACTCAATGTAATAATAATAAATAATAATAATAAAAAATCATTTATTGTCTCGTAACATTTTCTTCCTTAAAAACTAATTAATCAAATACAACAAAATAAATAAATTTGAGACAAAAAGCAGAGGCTCAGCTTATGCTGGCACGGCAATAACACCGTTTTTCTGCCTCTCCTCTTGAGCGGGATACATGTCAACGAGGGCATATAGCATAATATATTAAAAGACATACATAACACAAAGAAACAATAACAATATTGATATGACATTGATGGACATTATGTGGAGGAAAAAAAACAATAAAATAATAATAATTATAATGATGAAACAAAAAAAAAATGGTAAAGAAATATTAACATAAACAGTTCATGGAAATCCTGGGTGTATGTGTGTGTGTGTGTGTGTGTGTGTGTGTGTGTGTGTGTGTGTGTGTGTGCGTGCGTGCGTGCGTGCGTGCGTGCGGGTGCGGGCGCGGGCGCGGGCGCGGGCGCGGGCGCGCGTGCGCGCGTGCGTGCGTGCGTGTGTGTGTGTGTGTGTGCATGAGTGATCGTTATTGTGGTGAATGGGATTACCAGTCATGTCAAAAAAGTCTACTATTTTTATGATTTTACAATATGCATGTTTCAGGTTTTCTGCAGCGAGTTGTCTGCGCAATAGGCCGATTTGTATTTTATTCTAAAGCTATTTATGCTCATTTTATTCCTTAGCGGTGGAGGTAAGTCATTCCAGATACC